AATTTAGGGAAATTGTCAAATGGAGGACTTAAGCAGGTTCGATATGTATCGCCTCATATGCAATCCCATTTTAGCTTTGCCCTTACGACGGTAGAACACATTTTAGGCATCTCAACCATCATCGCTATGCTTAGGTATGAGGCCAAGATACAAACACTAAACAAAATTTGACGATTAGTATCCAAACCTAGAGATTAAACGGAACATTCAAATAATGAGTGGTAGATTCAATTAGGAGATATATATTGACATTTTCGAATTAGCTAGGTATGAATTATGGTGATTCACAAGAGGCACTCTCAAAGGCCGGACGCTGTTGAAATTTAAGATTTTCATGTGGCGGCTGTTGTAGTTTTTTAAGCCCGCTACGTACACCTGATTGTCGTGGGAATAGCGTCCACCTTAACACTAACTTGCAACGCAAAAATACGCTCAGCTATAGCTGCAGATGAAGCCAAACACTTAGTCATAAGACATTTAATAATTATCTCGCATGTAAAAATACCTTCAAATCTTAAAAGCACACGAGTCACACGAGTTATCTATGTATGCAGCCCCATCACAAAGCCTTAACAGTGTGTACAAATGCCAAGAGAAAAAAACAACAAAAAGGTGAGTGCAATAAACTCCATACAACCCGTCTTTCTAGGCATATTTGCAGTTCAGATTGCACTTTTGCCCCGCAGACAACCGTCGAGAAATTCAGTCAGAGAAATAGTAAAAAAAGTATTATCGCCACACAAAGCTGTTTATAACTAATGTTTATAGTTGCAATTAAACACTATATAATACTCGTATATTATACTGATAACAGTTGTTGGCCTAAGACTGCTTATATATGTATGTATGTATGTATCTACATAAATATGTATATCGGCACATAAAAGACAGGCACGAGATTAATGCGATAACGAACGTGATTTTGAAGTGAGTGTCGATGAAGGCATATCCGTTTTTCACGTGAATATCACAAGTTTCGATATTGCTAGATTGAATATTTCTGCATATACCCGCGTATTTGTGTAGCAGAATAACACAGCAATATATGTATATATGATTGTATGGTATACAAACTGCGACAGAGTACTAAGAGAAATGTGGTTGGGAAGGAAATTGTTATCTTCAAGCAGGCAAGCAGTCGTCAAGTCAGTTAGTCAGGCCTTTTGTAGAGAGAGATAGGCAAGTCGCTCTAAATATGCAGGCATGTGGGTGGTATCAGATATTCACTGCATTGCAGATAAATGCCTATTTACTCCCGTTGGTTGATTGGTTGGATGCCTATCGCTTGCTCTGGCATTTTTCTAGGGTCGTTGATGTGACTTGTCTGATATTGACAACGTTTATGACCGATGTGAGAGTAATCTTGTAATCCACTCGATTTCTTTACACGTGATACTCGTAGTAGCGATTACTTGACTTAAGCGCAATTTCGCGAATATTTTATTATAATTTTCTACTGGTGTTAATCCTCAGAAGTAAGTAGTAGGTAAATAAATTATAAATATGATATTCAAATGTGGTTTGCTTGAGCCTACTGGAATTAAACGAATATTGTTATTTCTCGTGACAGTAAGCACTTAGTATGGAACAAGATTTAGTGGGTAAACATAATGAAACTATTTCTAAAACACTTTTATGAAACACACTCATGAAAACGTTTGAAAAAAAAACTCTAAATATATGTATGTAAGTAACCCTCATTAATATATGGAGCGGAAAACCAAATAAATAAATAAAAAGGTGATCAAAATAATAAACTTCGTTTTACTATACACTTCGTACAAATAAAGTCAGCCAGTTCTCAGTATTGGAAGTTATCCTTTTGTTTACATATTCATTAATTTTTTATAAAAATAAACCATATTCTATAAAAAAACCCATGTAAATCCGTTTTTCAAACTTTATAAAAACACTTTGCAACAATTTCAGGGGGCGCAATGATTCCAAATCAAGATGAAAGATCTAGGCCAGGGATTTCAAAAGTGGTCCAGGTGGACCATCAGTGCTCAACGGGAGACTGGACGGGGGTCTACGTTGGCGAGAAGAAAAAAAGGGGATTCACAAGATTTTGGGATGGACTCCCACTGAGTCCACGAAAATTTATCTGATTTCGATAGTAAAGACCAAACATGTTGGCTTGTCTTAACCTAGCAATGTTGGCAGATGATGCAAAACTCAAAAAAAATTAAGGAACGAAAAAAAAATTTCAAATTTCTGTGAAAAATGGTCGTGTTCAGGCTTTAAAAAAGACTTTAAGATTTAAATTTTCAGAATTCTATCCTAACAGAAAACGCGAAAAAATAATTTTGCAATTTGTTGCTTCTTTGTACACGGGCTTGAGACTTTCTTTCAAGTATATGGATATGATAGCCTCTTTATTAACATTTAATTTCCTTTTTGTAAAACCTCTCAGAGTAAAACAGAGTTCGCAAAAATTCTCACTGAGGAATGGACTTTCGATTCTTCTGGAACCGTTTTTGGGGCCTTTTGGAATCGAGTTTCGGTTCCGTTAAACACGTTTTTCGGTCCTTGGCACTCTAAACAGAACCCGGTTTCGGTTCCACAGATCTGTGCATCACTCCCCTTTACACATTCATCGCGGTGAGGGCTGGAGACTATGGAACTATTTATGAGTTTTACAAAGCCATTCACATAAATAGTTCAGCGAAACAAAATACCGCAGTTGCACAGGGTGGGCCATGTCGTATGAATGGATGCAAATGTTCCAACTCGGAAAATAGTCGATGCGATACCCGCTTGTTGTCATAGAAAAGCACATTTTTAATCTATATATATAAAAATGGTGTACAAAATGTACAGTAATTCATCAATTGAGAACGGTTGGGCCGATTTGGCAACATTTTTTTTAGTCATTCGTAATTGGCAGGAGAAGGTTTTTACGAAAGAAAATTTTGGGAAAGCCTTCCGGCAAAGTTGGGAAATTGGAAAAATCGAAAATTGGTTTGTTTGTATGGAATTTTTTGTGCAATTCCTTCCGAATGGCTTTCGAATGGAAAAATAGAAAATACTAAGTGGAAAAGTGGAAAAAATTTGAATTTTGCATTTTAACGCATGATTTGATGATTTTGGACGATGTAAAGGTGGAAAATTCATTGTGAGCATGAATCAATTGGGAACAATTTTCTCTTATGTTTCAAAACCAATTCGAAAGGTTGCTGCTTTTTTGGAAAGGTATTTAGAAGGAGGAGTGCACAAAGTTTTAATTTCTCCGATAGGTGGCACAGGGGTCGAACTACGCTAAAAAATGCATTTGGTACGTAGGTAGCCTTTTGCCTAGATTAGCATGTAGGATCTATTTTTTCCGTTAAGTGGGCTAGGGACCGATCTGTCCGAAAAATTCTTATTTATGGTCCGATTTTGTTGAAATTTGGCACGTGGGTAGCTTATTGTCTGGGTTAACATATAGGATACTTTTTTCTGATAAGTGGAACAGGGACAGATCTATTACAAAAAATCTGGTTTATGGTCTGATTTGCTTGAAATTCAATATGCGTAGAATAGAATTGAGTCATTGGTTTACAGTTCGAAAAGTGTTTAAAAGCGCCGCAAACATGCGAGTATTGGTTATTTAACAATACTTATTACACAGGCCAACAAAAATTGAAAAAAACTATACAGCAAATGTTAGCGCTATTTTTGACGTAAGCATAAAGTTTCCATCAGCTCCAGATTTAGAGAAAAACGTGGCATTTTTTGCAATATTTGAGAAGCTCTAGCAAATAAACAAAGGTTGTAGAAACTCCCACTTAGGCTTAGATTAAAGCATAAAATCAGTGTTGCCCAGTGTTACCGAGATATATATGTATAGGTAATGATACTATTGCAAAAAAGATGCGCGAGGTGGCGCTGTAGCCGAGTTATTGCTAAAAATCGTCAATTCGGAGGCACCAGAGATCAAAGTCAAATTAACCCCGTTAAATCAACCATCAGACCCTTTGCGGTCCTTGCTTTACGTTAACTAAACATAATGTGGACCAGTGATACTCCCCAGTTTGGAAATTGCTACCAACTATACTATATAGATTCAAGGACGGTTCACCATCGAGCCGCAAGGACTTCTTCCCGGTATAACGCTTTCGTCAGCTTATTTAAAACGGCAATGGAGGATATGTCTTCTGTCGACCACAAAACCAAACGTGATCGTGAATTTCTGGCAAAAACGTTAGACCAAATGTTTCAATAAAAAAATTAATTTTGGGCGGGACGAAGTTCGTCGGGTCTGTTAGTCACTTATAATAATCCCATGCTTTGAATAGAAATATGTAAGTTTATAGACCAATTGATCAGTTCGCATTATTAAAAAAATCTGGATTGCAAAAAGTAATGAATTCGTGCCCAGCAATTAACTTTTGTTAAGTGCTATCTTAGAGAATACTAAATTAAAAACAGTTTTTTAAATTGCATAACTTTATCACAGCCACGCTAAAGCTTAGGCCTCATTTGCTCTAATGCATTAACACTAAGCCTCTGTAATTACTTTTTAATCTGCCTTATTTGAATTAGACACGAAAAAGCATTTTATTAATATCTTGTAATTATCATGTAATCCTCGTTTCATTTACCGCAAACTATTAATTAGATAAGATATTTTTTAACTGTTAAATAACTGTGGTTTTGAACTACAAAAAAAGGTGTGCATACAGCCTATTGTAGCTTCTGGGAACTCTGATAGTTATTACGGGCAGGGGGTATTTATGTATTTTTTACTTAAACGTACAGCGTAGTTGATGCTAATAGCTTTATAGCAAAAGTAGCAAAAATTAATCCGCATTTTCAATGTCAGGAAAATCCCCTTCTCCAAATAATCGATCATTTAGATACAGCACCATTTCAATAGAATTTGTAATCATATTTTTTGAAAACTCGAAAAGAACAGCAACAACAAATTATTTTCTACAAATTCCAAACAACATTCAATATACAAAATATTTATATACATAATTTTTTATAAAATAAAATACTTTAATAAAATTCATTAGAAATGGCTGCAATGATACCAACCGCACGTTACCGGCCAGTGGTACGCATTGGCAATTGGTTTGAGGACATTTGTCTGGAGCAGGTGAGCAGTGACAACAGAACTTGCAACACAAAAAAAAAACAATCCACGCTCAAACTCTTTTCACGCCAACAGGAAAAGGTGCAAACTTTTAAGAATTTACGCGACCGCGGCGAACTGCTTGTGGAGAAGACGCGCCGACTATTCGACAATTTTCACAAAGCCATCGAATTGGAGGCGCCCAAAGAGAATGTTCACTTTGGCGCCATAGTTCAGTTGATGCCAATGAAAATGAATATTTGTGATGAACGTGTGAAGGCACAACCCGCCTTGTCGGTCATCATCAATGAACGCGTCGTGCGGCATAGTCAAAATATCAATGAAGAATGTGAAATAACAATTGCGCCCTCAGTGACGCCTTGTGTGCGTAATTCTTTTCGTATCGTGAGCGGTGATGAGAAAGATCGCACAAATGAGGTTATCAAATATGGACAACAATTTCGTTTGGAATGTGTGGAGAGTCAAGATGATGTACTACTGCTATATAGTGCGGCGAAATCGGCCGATCTAAAGAGTATGATCCATACGACGTTTGATTCGAGGAAATGTGGTGAAATCAATTTGCCCTTGGGTCTATGCAAGAAAAGCGTGAGTTGTATGATGGTGAATTAGAAATGGAGATTTTTAATGTTAGTGTTTCTAACGTCTTCCAGAATTGTGGTCCCGGAAAGGAAATACCCTCGGCATATACTAAATGGTTCTGTACCCATATTGATCCCAAGAAACGTTTTGAATCGTACGGCACACCAGCGCCGGTGAGTATCACTATATGTATAGCCCACACACCAAACAATTTTAACTGATTAATTTTTATATCTTACAGAGCAATGCAGCTTTGGTTATCACACACGTACCAACAAATAAAAAATCTTGCAGCAGAAAATGTTGTCGTCCAAACACTTTTCGGACCGGTGAGTATTTAATAAACAGCTGCTTCTCTGAACACTATACCATAGAACCGTGGTACCCACAAAAAAATCATGCTGGCTCGTTATGTTGTTGTTGTTGTAGCGGCTAATAAACCCCGCTCGGGTCGGCTTGTCCATCAACGTTGTCGTCAGACTCAGCGAAAGGGAGGCCCAGAAAGTGTCCAACTTCCACCGCTCCTGCGCGTAGGGCCAAGGGCGCTAGCTGGGTGGGGTTTTAGGGGCATCCGAAGAGGTGCCGTCAGTCACGTGGTGACTTCCGCATATCGGATATTCATTGGGTACACTACGTTCACTCTACTCACTTACGAGTTTAGTCTGCTGCAGTAGCCAGAGCGAAGTTGGGCTATTGTGGTGCGAGTCTCCCGAGGCATTCAAAGCTCTGTCCCGTCCACGTCTACTGGTTGTGTACCTAAAACGACATTCACAAATCGGGAGTCGAGTTTTATGAACCTCTGGACTTCGTCCGTGCCCACGTCTGTGCCACCCTACTAGGAACTACTTGCGGAGCATTGTTTATGCTCCTTGATGGGAAGCATCTGGGCTTCGTGGCTTCGTAGTTAGGTTGCCTTGAGGCGACATCAAAGGGCATCCAATCGCGGTCTGGAATGCCGTGTGAGACCCCCGGTTTAATTTCCCTCGGTGTGCTGGTTTTGTCTCTGAAAATACTGACTTGGCATTTTTTTACTTTTAGTATACCACACACGGAGAAGCCATTGCACTCTGAAATAACCTGCCCGAATGGTTGACCAAATTTCTTTAGACTCACTTTTGCAAGGGCAGGGCACTCTGCGAGAAAGTGTTCTACTCCCTTCTTTGAGCCTCGATCCTTCTTCTACAAGTTGCGACCTAACCGCGGAAGAGGAGAATACCTAATTGCCGCTTTACTATCTGAAAAAATATTCATTCGCGATTTCGCAGCTGTATGGTTTTTTATGTATTTTAACGCCAGCTTAAGCGCATACGATTCCGCCTGGAAAATTCTTGCGTGATCCGTTAGGCAAAATGATAGCTTCAGATTGAGTTGCTCAATGAAAATCTTAGATCCATCCATAAGGCAGCTAATGCATCCACGAGACCCACTCACCGAGTCCAGTCACTGCATCTTTAGAATTTTGTGTGAAGTTTGTTGCTGGTCCAGGTCTTTGGTTTTATGTAGTCGTTAGGTAGCGCTTTTACTTCAGATAGGACTCTATTTAGGATGGTACTTTGTCCGAATGGATTTTCTTTCTAATAGCCTAAGGCTGCTAATTTTATTGCACTAGTAGCTTTATTTTAAATAAAATTATATATAGGTAGCAGAACATTCAGAACCATTGGGAGCTGATTTCTGTAGTCCGCTAAGTTTTTTACGGCGTAATCCTTAGTTAGTGCTGACACCATACCCGACGCTCCTTAAGAAAGTGTGTTTTCCATGTACATCTAGTGTATAGTCGTTGGCTTAAAATGCCATTTGTTAACAATTTGCTGAAATAGGGCGTTCTTATAGAGCGTACTTCAACCGTTTGAGATGTCCATTTAGGAGGATGCCCATTTAAAGCAAGCATATTTTTCAATGATTTTTTTGTACTGCAAAATTTTTCAGGAGTTCCTCGTTTCGGTACAAAACTACAAGGACATGTACAACCGCGAACGTTGGCAAAACATTTGGATGATATGCAACGGTCAGAGTGAAGGGAAGCGATAAAAATACAACCATTCGGATCAATGAACGCTACTGCCGCAAAAACTTCATTTGTTTAGCACGAAGGAAATGTCATTTTGGAAATAAAATAAATTTATATAAAAAATACAATAATAAAAATAAACAAAAATAAAAACCCAAAAAATATTTGCAAATCGGACGTCCAAGTGACAGACAGCTCTGCTTTTGCGAAATCCCCACTTCCCAGTAGCTGCCGTAAGTCTTCAAACAAGATAACGGTGGCACAGCACGACTTCCAGATATACTTCCATATGTAGATATACGAAGACAATAAGCAAATATTTGCACAGTGACAAATTGAAGTCAACGCCTTCGCTGCCAAACCGCTGTCCAAGGTATGCGGGAAGTCCTACAAATATTGCCGAAATAGCAAACTTTTTCAAATCTCATACGACCTAGCGAAGTTCTTGGCAGTCGTTGACCCTGCAATTGTTGGTGCTGTGCGAAATTTGTGACCTAATTCGCGCACAGTTGGACGCTGACTTCAAGTCGCAACACTTGGCCCACTCGTGGCAAGGTAAGCACACAAACACTACTGACAGAGCTAAAACCAACAAAGCTGTTTCTAATGCTCGCTCCAACTTGCTCGTTAGAGGACTGCAACTATATAAGGCACCTCCAAATTCTTTTTGTACGCAGTTTACTTAAACTTTTTGACAGGTGTATTTTTTTGTGTGCGATTTAAAAATTCCCCAATTTAGTAGTAATGCTTCCGCTACTCATCTTAGCCTGCTTCAGCGCTTTCGTCTTTGAACCCGCCGCTGGCGGCTTACGCATTATTGGCGGTCAGTATGCATTGTCCGGTCAGTTTCCTCACCAGGTTTCGCTACAGCTACGCGGTCGTCATCATTGCGGTGGTTCGCTCATATCGCCAAGCTGGATTATCACGGCGGCGCATTGCACCTACGGACAGAATCCCTCACAAATCCGCGCTGTTGTCGGCACCACGGATCTGCTTGCCGGCGATGGCAAATCATTCAACATTGCCAATATTATCATTCATCCACAATATAATCCAAAAACGCAGGATTACGATTTGTCACTCATCCAGTTGACCGAGTCAGTGCCGTTAGATGATAATATTGGCACAATAGCATTGGCTGATATGGAGGCAAATCACGCAGCCGACACAGTGGCAACCATCAGCGGATTTGGCGCGATTAATGGCAATCTCGAGATGCCCACTCGGTTGAAGTATGCTGAAGTACAGTTGTGGAGTCGGGACTTCTGCAACCCGCAGAATATTCCTGGCATTACAGATCGCATGGTTTGTGCCGGCCATCCTAGTGGACAGGTGGGCGCCTGCCAAGGCGACTCTGGCGGTCCGCTTACCGTTGAAAATAAGCTCTTTGGCGTGGTTTCGTGGGGTTTCGGTTGTGGTGCGCGTGGCAAACCGGCCATGTATACCTATATCGGGGCGTTGCGCTCGTGGATTAAACAGAACTCTGGCGTTTGATTGGAATGCAAGTACAGTGGGGCTAATGGAAGCCCTTGACGTTGATGAATAATTGAAGTATTAGAATTTTATGCATGAATAAAGTTAACTGTTGAAATATTTGTTTAGTTGTGTTGATTTTGTTTTGATGCCCTAATTTGCAAAAGAGGCAAAGAATAAATAAGTTTTCTGAGGTCCTTCAGCGCTCGTTTCTTTAATCCTTTTTATTCGGAATGGTCAGAGTTTGAAGGTCTTCTACTTCAGCTTCCCTCAAAAGGGGAACATTTACACGAGATAATAGGGGAGCAGTAGAAATAAGACCTGACCTCAGACAAATAGAGCTTTGGTGGGGGACATCTGGGGCTTGCATAGGACTGTCTTGGCAATGAGAATACACCAACCGCTGAACCAGATCGACCATACCAAAATGGTCTATTATAGACTGTCCATTCATTGAGAATTAAATAACATCTTCGTCAACTCTTACCCCTTGAATTCCATCGTCGGACCCCAACTCCACCCATCGCAGACGAAGAGCTCGGGTTGCTTTGTGAGGTTCGCGATACTTTGACAGAACTCCATTCTGCATATTGTAGCAGGTTAAACTGTTCAACCTAATTTGAATAAGATGCTTCAACGACAATAGTAACCTCTCGCTCTCCTACGGCCCAAACCCCCCGGATCTGGCCTTCCTGAGTCTGCCTTTAGATGAGAATGAAGACGATACGTAGTCGATTCACTGGTTTAGAGAGTTAGTAAGATGCTAAATATAACGAAGAAAACGGTGAAAGTTTTCTTTCGATTTTCCTTTTAGTTTTTAAGAAACTTTCCGCATATTAAGAAAACGACGGAAATCAGTTTGGAAAAACCGAGGCAATCGATCTAGTGAAAACTTTATTGAGAGTATTTTCAATTCACAGATTTCTCAAATACCTTGCGTTTGAAACCCATAATGTCATAATTAGTTTATCATATTTTATGTCTATTATTTAATAACATTTTTCTAACAGATGACAACCCTAATGAAAAATATGTAAGCCTTCTCTCTCTCTTTAGTTTGATATCTACACATATTGAAATGTGGGAACAAATATGAATACTGAAATCAAGAGGACACTGCCGCGAGCCAATTTGCCCCACAAACAGCACCTGCTGACAAAAGAGAAGGGCCCATTGAGGCATACAAAAAGCTCAGTGGAGCTGGTAAAAAGAGGTACGCATACCTGCTTAAGAAAAAGCCTAGCAAGGAAGAAGCGTATGCCAAAGCGCAGCTTCCAAGAACCAAAAACCAAATCGAGGGGGAAAAGGCGCCGAAAAAGGACCGTTCAGAGGAACGCACTCTGCGTGAATCTGGCCCCAAAAAGAGGCCGAAGCACGATGAACCCTCGTCAATGCTGCTGCTGCACCACATAAGTTACAGCTCACTGTCACATTTAAAGATGTTGGGTGAAGATGGCAGTCCTTTCCAGGGACTACCCTCGAAAGGTCCTAACAATAGAACAGATGGACTCCAACCAAACTGTCCTTCTGGACAAAATTATGGCTAATAAGGACACGTCGATAAAACCAGCCTTGTTGGGATCTGTTTACAAGGCCGGATATATTGTACTGCACTGTAAGGAGAACACGACCATGTTCACCGTGATTATCTGGGTAAGTGCTCCACTGTGGGCTGCGGAGTAATTAAAAATTTCTTATTCCAGGGTCGCGGTGGGGTACTTTCTAAATTCCGCTGAAATGGAAACCTAGCTGGTACTGGATTTCGTTCAAGGGCAGTAGACAGTGGATAAATCTACACCACGCTAAAGCAGCAACGGCGGAACTTACATGAGATTTACCGGTGAAAATATCCACATAGAGCTCTTACAAGAGCTCTGGATAAACAATGGACGACTTGAAGGGCTCAGCATCAAAAATACATAGGTAATTTATGACAAAACATCTGCCAAACCAAGGGCAGCGATAATTATAGACACAAGCATTAAGTTCCCGCCTTTCTATGCCTTTACAGTTGGCAACACTGTCAAATTACTGGTGTAAGTGGAACTTAACGGGCGTAAGACGGAGTTCATGATCGCCTTAGCTAACTTTCCAGCCGAAACAGATGACGCACCAACATATCTCGTAAAGAAACTAGTGGAGTACTGCAAAAACCACAGAAAAGTTCTCATCATCGGCTTTGATGCCAATGCCCACAGCATAACATGGGCCAGCACGAATACAAACACAAGAGGTGAGTCACTCTTAGAATTTTTATTAACAAGTAACATAGCAGTAGCTAATAAGGGAAACAAGCCAACCTTTATAAATGCTATTCGTCAAGTGTTCTTAGACCTTACATTTGTCTCTGCAAACTCTTTCGACTTGATTCATAACTGGGGTAGCTCAGCTGATGACTCCATGTCTGATGACAAACATATTCTGTTAAAAAGAAAGGGTCTAGTAAAGACATTCACGCTCTATCGCAGAGAGATTCACGCTATACCGAAATAATGACTGGGACAGGTATGATTTAAACATTTGAAACAAAACTGGGCACATTGACCAGGCAAATATCTAAAAAAGTGTATTTGGATATAGTAGTTGCAGACCTGACTGAAAGTAGCATGCCCTCATATAACGAACGCTGTCCACAGAAGGTAAAATTCCTCAACAAAGAGGGTACCTTGGTGGAACTCCAAACTAGAGAAACCGAGTACGACGACCAGGACTGAGTTCAACCAGGCCAAGAGGACGAACACCTGCTATGACAATAAAAAGTCTCTCACACAATACAACAAAGAACTACGGAAATCCAAGGGAAATTCTTGGAAGAATTTATGTGAGGACCTTAGGGCCATTCTAGGATCCGAAGGTCTTTCTCTAAGGGCAAATCCGCCCTTAGAGGAACTCTAAAGGGATCGGATGGATGCCCTACAAACACGTTTAGGGAAACCATAGAGCTCCTTCTGAGGATTCACTTCCCTGACTGTAGGCTAATAATGCAGAGGCCAAATACGCACAGTATGGTAACCACATACCAGAGACGAGCCTTCGGACCAGTAATTAAAAAAGT